CAGCACCTCCTCCAGCCCCGGCCCGTGCGCCTGGATCTCCCGCCGCAGGCCCTGGGGACGCGAGGTGGGGGTGCGTGAAGAGCCGCGTTCGGAAGCCAGGCAGGAACGCGTGCGCTTCCGCAACTGGCACGTCCCAGGAGAGGCGGGCAAACACCCGCACGTCAACCAGCCAGCGCCAGGTCCCACACAAGCCGTTACTCATTCGCTCACTCGCTCAGACCCCGTGTGGCAGGTGGGAAAGCAGGCACAGGAGGCGAAGCAAGTCACCCCGAGAACAAGTAGCTCGTAGGGGGGTGACAGGATTTGAAAACAGGCTCCAGAACCAAGACGCCTGGTGACACAAGAGAACACAGGCCTGGCAATCAGGCTGTGTAGGGACAACTGGAGTATAACTTACACATCGCAACGTGCACAAATCTCAGGGGTACCCAGATCAGCATATGGAACACTCCATCAGCCCAGACTTTCCCTCCACCAGCTCTGTACCTTATTTAACCTCTCCTGGGCCTGTTTCCTCATGTCCCTTCAAATGGGGATAATAATAATGGTCAACACTTACTGAGTGGCTGCTACCTGCCAGGCACTTTGCTGAGTAAGGGCTTTACATAACACAGCCACTCATCCAGTCTTCACTCCAACCCCATTCTCATTGTAAAGATGAGGAAACTGAGGCACCAAGAGGCTGAGGAACACGGCCAAGTCACATGGCTAGTGGCCGCCTGTGTGGGTGTTGTACCATGCTGCACTTAGAACTGTGCCTGGCACAGTGGGTGCTCAGTCAATATCAGCAACGATTGTCCCTTTAACAGCCCCTGTGGGCCCAGCCCTCTCACACCCGGCCGAGCTCCAGTGTTAAACATTCAGTGCACTTGAAAGTGATGAGCCGGCTATGCGTGTCCCCAGCACCGTCCACAGCAAAGAGTAATTTCATCAAGATGGAAAAACAAAATGTGAGAAAAACTCCAGCCTCTTAAAGAGCTCCATCTGGTGCAGCATGATCACAAACCTTTCAAAATAATTTGTGTACCCACCTCCCCACCATCCTTCAGAGCCCCATTCTTGCAACTTTTTTTTTGTTTGTAAAAAGGGGTATTGACAATACCTACCTCAGAGGGTTATTGTGCAGATTAAATGAAATAACCTACATGACCCCCTAGGACAGTACTTGGCACGTCATCTTTAATCAATGCACTCTTGCTATTATTATTATTATTATTGTTATTATTATTATTCCTCTGTTATGTGCCTTACTTTGAGCTTTGGTAAAAGAGTTGCTTTGACCAAAGGTTTTCTCTCCTAACCGATTGGAGACCACTGCTCTAGACCAACTCTCTACTATTTAGACCTGGAAACTGAGGCCCAGAGAGTGCAACAGAGACCTAGTCATTTTAGAGCAGTGGTCGGCAAACTGCGGCTCGTGAGCCACATGCGGCTCTTTGGCCCTTTGAGTGTGGCTCTTCCACAAAATACCACGTGCGGGCGCGCATGTACAGTGCGATTGAAACTTCGTGGCCTATGCGCAGAAGTCAGTATTTTGTGGAAGAGCCATACCCAAGGGGCCAAAGAGCCGCATGTGGCTCGTGAGCCGCAGTTTGCCGACCACTGTTTTAGAGGCTCAAAAGCCCCACGGTGCTTAGCTCAGAAGTCAGCACTCTCTCACTGATCCTCTCTGTTCTTGCTCCCTGTGGGCGTTTTGAGATTTTGTTTGTTTGTTGTTGGTTGTTTTTCTTTTCCATGGCCCAACAGCCACGCCCCTTCTAGTCAAGGGACTCGGACTTTCTTTTGGCGAACCTCCTTGCTCCCGTCTCATCACAGGTAATTAAGTTAAGGCTGGCTCCACGTGCTGTTCAAAGAGTGGGCCCTTAGCGGGGACCAAGCCAACCTCAGCAGTCTAAATCCCTGCCCTGCACGATTAGCTCAGGAAGTAGACATGTGACTCAAGTTGAGCCAATAAGAGTTATTCCTGGAACTATTGCTGATTACTGAGACTGGGCATCTTTTTAAAGAGAGAAATTTTCTTCAGTTTTGTGTGGGATATAAACTTGAATCTGTTGGAGGTCTCTTACCACCAGGAGAGGAGAGTTGGCTTAAGAACAAAACTAATGCAGAACAAACAAAGAAGCTGAAGCTGAGCAATTTACGACATCACGGAAGCACCTGGACGCATCTGCACCTGCCGTGTTTTCAGTGACAAGATGCAGTTAATCCCGCCTCTTGGCTTTAAGCACCTTGAGCATTTTCTGTCACTCAAATGCAAATGTGTCCTAATCCCCCCCAGCGACCAGAATCTGCTCACCTGGTTCTTTTTGATGTACTGCTGGACGGCCTGCAAACCACTGCCTCGCTCCATCTGCATGGCCAGCGGCAGCCGCTCCTGGACCCATGCCTGAGAGGACACAGGGAGCCGGTCAGGGGGAGAATGCATCCCAGGATCCCTGCATCCCAACTAAACTGTGAGCCACCTGCACAGGATCCAAGGCCCTTTGTTGCCTAAGAGCCTGCTCACATCATTGGCCGCCTCTCTGGACAATGCCCCGTCTTACTCTCTGCACTCAAGCCAGGCCCATGCCTATCTCTGGCCTTTGCACAGGCAGGCTTTCCTTCCTGGAATTCCTTTCCTACTCCCTCAGCAAGCTCATATGTACTCTTTCTTCACATCTGAGCGCAGACACCCCTTCCTCCAGGAAACCCTCCCTGACTTCAGAGCTTGACCAGTTGCCTCCTCTGGGCTCCCATAGCCCTCTGACCCCCGCCCCCCCATCACAGTCCTCACCACCCTGTGACTATCTGGGGACAGACAAGTCTGTTTTCCCCTTTGGACTCTGAGCCTCGATGGGCAGGAAAGGGGTCTGCCTTGGTCATCCCTGTGACTCCAGCATCTTCCAAGCTCAGGGCTGGAGCCAGAATGATAAAATGAATTAGTGAGTGAGTGAATGAATGAATGAGCAAATCAGGAAGTGAGTGACTGAAAGGAAATGAATGGATGAATGATGAGTGAATAAATAACAAGTAAATGAGTGAAGTACAAAAGAATGAGTCAATGAATAAATGATTGAAAGCGAGTAAATGAATGTGAAAAAGCGAATGAATAAGTGAATGAGTGAAAGATTGAATTACTGAGTCTCAGGTCTCTTAAAACCCTGGAACCCGCCAAGGTCCCTTGGCCTCGCCCCCGCCTCCACCCCGTTGGCCCGCTGCCCCGCCTCTGGCCTCACGCCCCGCCCCGTGACCCTGGTACCGCCCCCTCCCGCCCGGCTCCCCGCTCCGGGCCTCACCAGCTCGTCGTCGAGGTCGTGCGCCACCTGGTGCAGCTCCTTGGAAGCGAGCAGCAGGCGGCGGCGCTCCTGCAGCGGCTCGGGTAGGGGGACCAGGCGCTCGCCCACCGCGTTTTGCCGCTCGCCCACCAGCTCCTTGCTCGCCGGCTCCAGCGGCAGCGCCGCCGTCTGCGCCTGCAACTCTCCCACCTCTCGGTACCACTCCTCCACCTGCGACTCCATCGACTGTGGGAACAGGTCAGGGTCATGGGCCCCACTCTCCCTCCCGATCCTGCGGTGGCTCTCCAACACCGTTATAGTGACAGCAAAGCCCTCACTGCGGCCCACCATTCACTCCCCCCTTGCCCAGGTCCCTCAGAAGCCTGCCCTCCTCTCTGACCTGCAACCCCCTTAGCTAGTTCCTGCCTCAGGGCCTTTGCCTTGTCAATTAGATTTCAGATCAAATATTACTTTCTCCAAGAGGCTCACCTGACCCCTTGGACTAAAGTCGTCCATTAATTTTTTTAGTTCTCAGAAAAACCTTCACGGTTGATGGTATCCCTGTTTTACGGAGGAGAAAACTGGGGCCCGGAGAAGCTAGGTAATCTGTCCAAAGAACCAACATTTCCAAATTGCAAAAATAAATACAAAGCTCTAGCGACTTAAATGGTTGATGTGATATAGGAAAGGCACAAAGTGCAAAAGCAGAGGAGAATTCATATATAGAAGCCATTTCAAATCTCCCAGGAAAAGATGGATTATTCAACAAATGGTCATGGGCCAACTGGCTAACCAAGTTAGCTGGATCTCTTCCTCACTCTATGCTGAGAACAATTCCAGATGGATTAAGTGGAATAAGTAAATCCACAAGGTAACTGGAATAAGAAAACCTGGGCAAATGGTTTTATAATCGTGAGATGGAGAAAATCTTTCCAAGCACAGAAACCATAAAGGGAAAGATTTACAAATTTGGCCACATAAAATCCTTTCACATCAACCACAGTTTCTAGATGTAGTTAAAGGCAAATGACAAACTGGAAAAATATTTAATATGTATTGAGGCAAGGAATTACTGTCTTTAATAATCAAAGAATTCCCCTTTGTTTCCACAGCACTGACCACCATTGGGTAACTGTTTTTATTTGTAGGTTTTGTTCTGTTTTTGTTTTGCATATGATGAGAATCATTGATCCGCTGCCTCCTGCACGCCCCCTACTGGGGATCGAGCCTGCAACCCGGGCATATGCCCTTGACTGGAATCAAACCCGGAACCCATCAGTCCCCACTGAGCCAAACCTGCTAGGGCTTGTTTTGCTTTTCAACCCTATTCTTTTTTTTTCTTCTAATCTTTATTGTTGAAAGTATTACATAAGTCCCCTTTCCCTCCCATTGACCCTTCTAGCCCCTCCCCGCCCCTCTAGGCCTTCACTACTCTATTGTCTGTGTCTATGGCTTATGTATATATGCATACAAGTAATTTGGTTAATCTATTCCTACCTACCCACCCACCCACGAGGTTTACTAGTAATCTCTTCACACCCACCCACCAGGTTTTTTATTGGTCTCCTCTTCCAGAATGTGAGTTTCATGAGGGCAGAGGCTGTGTCAATTCACCTCTGTATTCCTGAGTTCCTAGAACAGTGCCTGACACATAGCACGTCCTTCAACTGTGATTTGTTCAAGGTACAAATGAATGACATCAACAAGGAAATACCACCCAGGAGAGAAATGGGCATCATATGTGAAGAGGCAACACACAGAAGAAAAAATAAATGCATGAAAAGATGCCTAGTCTCACTAATGAGCAGAAAAATACAAATTAAACAAGGTATCCTTTTCTATTCATCAGATTGCCAAAGGAAAAAAAAATTAAAAGGTCAATAACATCTAGTGTTGACAAAGATGCAGGGAGATAGCACACTCAGCCACATGGGCAGTGGTGTAAATGAATAGAGCCTTTTTGAAAGGCAATTTGGCAGGTCCTATCAAAATGCAAACTGTGTCAAAATGCTTTGATCCAGCACCTGTATATCTGATTCTAGGAATATATCTAAAGAAGTACTGGCACAAATGCACAAAGATGTCTGTCCAAAGATGTTCATTGTAGCAGAGATGTCTGTCCAAGGATCTCATCATAGCAGAATTTATGATGGGAAAAATAGGAAACAACCTCAATGTCCATTAGGAGTGAAATGGTTAAACAAATCCATAACAGTATTGAATGATAGTCAAGACTTACTGTCAAGAGGAAAAGCAATTTTCAACATATATATTAATATATATTTGTAGTGGACTGCACAGGTATTAAACTTCCCTGGAATAGCCCATTTGGTTTGGCTCAGTGGTTGAACATTGACCTATGAACCAGGAGGTCATGGTTCCATTCTCAGTCAGGGCACATGCCTGGGCTGTGGGTTCAATCCCCAGTAGGGGGTATGCACGAGGCAGCCAATCAATGATTCTCATCATTGATGTTTCTGTCTCTCCCTTTCCCTTCCTCTCTGAAATCAATAAAAATACTAAAGAAAAAACTTCCCTGCAATAAACAAGAATTAATAACAGATGGTACCTATTCTGGGGATGGGAATGTAGTGAATGGGAATGAAGATGAAGTAGAGACTTCTCACATAGGGTTTTTATATGTTTTTCCCCCCTTATTCTTACCCAGGGATATGTTTATTGATGAGAGAGAGAGAGAGAGAGAGAGAGAGAGAGAGAGAGAGAGAGAGGAAGGGAGAGAGGGGGGGAAGGAAGAGATTTTAGAGAAACATCGATGTAAGAAACATTGATTGGTTGCCTCCTGTAAGTGCCCTGACTGGGGATGGAACCCAAAAACTAGGTATGTACCCTGAGTGGAATCGAACCCACAACCTTTTGGTGTATGGGACAATGCTCCAATCAACTGAGCACCTGACCAGGGCTATATGTGTTTTTGTTGTTGTTGTTAATATTCACCCGAAAAAAAAAATAATAAAGATGAGGAAGTAACAGAAATGGAAAAAAAAAAAAATTCACCCGAGCATATTTTTTCCATTGATTTTTAGAGAGACAAACTTCTATGTGAGAGATACACATGGATTGGTTGCCTCCCACACATGCCCCGACCAGGGCTGGGATCAAGCCTGCAACCAAGGTATGGGCCCTTGACTGGAATCGAACCTGGGACCCTTCAGTCTGCAGGCTGATGCTCTATGCACTGAGCCAAACCGGCTAAGGCAGTTTTTTGATGTCTGAAACATAAAATGTATTTATTTAAATTTTTAAATTAAACAAGAAAAAACAAAATAAAAACATTAAAAATCCACATAGGTAAATTTGTAAATGCTAGAAAGAGGTCAAGAAGGGTGCACACCAAATAATAATTGAGGTTCTCTTTGGGGTGTGAGACTGGGAGGTATACTGAAGGGAGGCTTTGTTTCATTGAAGACTTATAGGTTAGAACGATCTTTTACTCAAAGTAATATGCACATATGAGTTGTGTGATTCTAAACAGATGGGGGGAAGCTAGAAAAGAAAACAAAATAACAATGAATTAAGTGGTAACAGATTAGGGCAAAAGACTGTAAGCCAGAGCTTAAAACTTAAGAACCACGTCAAGGTTTTTGTTCTAAGGTTCTTTAGTGCAGAGCTGTTGGTTTTGCCTACTCAACACCCATCCCTTCCTTCCTTCCCAGCACCTCAAATCCCACTCTCAGGTACTGAGCTTCTTGGGCAACTAATAAAACCTACAGGGCCAAGGGTGGCCACATGACCCAAGCCTGGCCAACCAGAACACTGAAATCACCCTGGCCATGGGATTGGGTTATGCGACCTATGCTGGGCCAATGAAAACCCTTCTGGCTTCCAGAAGAGCTGATGAAATCCAGTGGGTCCAAGAATGGTCATGTGACTCAGGCCTGCCAATGAGAATACTGAATCACCATGGCCACAAGGGTTGGGTAAAAGATGGCATGTGACCTAAAACTGGCCAATGAAAACTCTTTCCACTTTTGTTGGAAAAGTGTGTGAGCTCAGAAGGGGTGCTCTCTTTCCCACGGGGTTCCTGAGCTGATAGAATGTAGACCTGTCATACTGCGGGCCATCTTGCCACTACGGGGAAACAGGCTCCCAACAATGAGGCCAACACAGCGGGAAGCAGGGTGCAGAAGTTGAAACAGAGATGCCTGAGGACATAATTTGAGTAACTGACCCAGCCATGCCAGAAGCTGCATGCCTTCTGAATCTTTCAGTACGGGAGCCAACATATCCCTTCTTAGCCTAAGTCAATTTGCGTTTAAGTCCTATGAACTGCACCACAGAGTCCCAGCTGATACAGCTCATATTCTGTAAGGGTCATAAAAATGAGTGAAAATCAAACTATAACAAGTCAAAACCATCTAAGATGGAAATTTTTAAAAGGCTTAATCATAAGCTACAGAAATCAAAGAAAAATAAAATAGTAACCCCAAAAACCTTTTTTGCTAGGAAAATGAAAATGAGAATTCAGGAAACTCTTAATACAGTCTGAAATGTTAACGTTATAAGTTCCACTTCCCATTAAATGAAAACCCATCCACAACCTCCAGCAAGTGACCATATGACCTAAGATGGAATGATTCCAGACACTGACACTTTCCTACTTCTACGAACATGCCACATATTTTGAACACCCATTTAATGTATATCCTTCCCTGCAAACAGTGGTAAAGAATGCAGAAGCACACTGGTCATTATACACACAAAAAGATGGCCAGCCTCCTTCAATGTTCAGGGCAAAGCAAATTAAAATAACTACAGGACAGTTATCTGTCACTTCCCAGATGAGCAGAAATGAAAAAGCTTGACAATACCTAATGGTGGTGACTGCAGGGAAGATGGATCTGCTAGCCACACTGCAGGTGTTCCCACTGCCTTTTCAGGCGGGTATTTAGCAATAGCCACCTTTAATGCATGTACCTTTGGCCCAGGAGTGTCACTTTAAGGACCATTTTCTCCAGAAACACTTGCACATGGGCTCAAATACGTACAGACAGAGATGTCTGTCGCAGTACTATTAATGCTAGCAGATTGGAAACAGCCCAAAGATCTCTCAACAGAAGGCTGGTTGAAGACAGACTGCCCCACTGGCCCATGGAATACCATGCAACAGTTTAAAAGGATGGTATAGCCATCGATTTTGTGACAAGAAAGGATACCGAGGGTATTTTGTCAAGTAAAAAGGCAAGCTTCAGCATGGTGTGTGTGCCATATGTATGTGTGTGTGTGAA